GTGGCGTATGATGATTACCTAAATGCAAGCATGATGCCCTTGAAAAGGGTTGCTTCTCCTCTTATCAGAAATGTACTGCAGCTGTTAGATACTTGCATCCCGATGATTTTGTGGATGAGTATGTCCGCATGAGTGACTTCACATGCCTAGCGTATTGTATAAGTTCTGTAAACTTATGGTTGCAGTGTTTGGCCTGGAGTACTTGAGAAAACCAAATGTTGTGGATACAACCCGGTTGTTGGCGATCAATGAATCTAGAGGCTTTTTGGGAATGCTTGGTAGCATAGATTGTATGCACTGTGCGTGGAACAACTGTCCATTTGCTTGGAAAGGGCAATATAAGGGACATGTTAAAGCTTGCATGGTCATACTTGAAGATGTGGCATCACAACTTCACAAGATCTCTGGATTTGACACTCTTTTGTTGTCATGACAGGTTCTCATAATGACATCAACATGCTTCAGTGCTCATCAGTGTTCGCAAGGCTTTCAGAAGGCAACTCCACATAGGTCAACTTTGAGATCAATGGCCACAAAAACAACAAGAGATACTACCTAGTTTATGGTATATCTATCCTCAATGGTCAACTATTGTGAAAACAATCCCCAAGCCCGTGGGAGAGTAGGTTTTCCTAAGGACAAAAGAGTACTAGGAAGGATGTTGAACGTGCTTTTGGTGTTCTCCAATCTCGATGGCTATTGTTAGGCACCCTGATAGAACATGGAGCCCTCGGAGGATGTGGAAGATGATGACCGCTTATGTGATCATGCACAACATGATTGTAGCTGACGAGCATCTTTGATCAAGGGTGGGATTTCCAAGGTAAGAATGTTATGCCTGAGTATGGAGCGGTAACAACACAGATTATCCAATTTCATCAAGAAATATGTGATTGGACAACTCACATTCAATTTTAAAATGATTTGGCTGGGTATATATGAACTCACGTAGGAAACCAATGGGTGTCTCGGCTCCTTTTCTTTCAACGTATTTGGTATAATTTTAAATTCATTTGGTTGTAATAAACTATGAGGTTTTTATTTATTGTGATGGAAAAATTATGTGACGTATTTGGTTGTAAGCTATGTGCAATGTTTTGTTTTGTTTGACTGTATATGTATAAGGGCATCTCCAAAGCCGACCCTCAAACCACCCGCATAAGTTCATACCGTGCTGTCCGGACGTGTTGTGCCAACCAACACGGGTCTGTATCGATTCCCCAAGCGGTCTAGACGCACTTTTTCATGCAAAAGTGGAAGCGA